TAAATTTTGGCATCCATAACACAAGCCCGTACGTAACATACCATGGAATTAGATTGTGCTGTGTGTTAATGTCCCAAAAATGTATTTATTTAAAAGTAATTTTAAGTGTATATGTAAATTAAAGTGAGAAAACATATTCTAAAACCCTCTATCCTCAAAGTCGGTAACAAAGCTGTTAATGTTCTGTTACTCAGAACGATGCAATGATCTCATATGTTCGCACATAGCCTGTAATGACTGGTTTGTGTCTTTACAACTTTAACGCGTTTAAGATACGATTACCTTTTATAGTATACTTCTTGGGTTCTCAAATGTATTTATTTAAGGCCTCTCCGTTATTATCAAGAAATTAAACGTAGTAGAATAGATAGGGATGGTAATTTTTGTATACATGCTCTTAGACTATGTGCTAAGAGCGATAGGCTAAGAGAATGTAAAGTCAAATCTGTAAAAATCTTTAGTTCCTTTCCACATATTAGTATTTTCTCAGATTTCCGTAAATATGTGATATTTTGAGAGACATGATCAGTCTCTCCCGTGACCACGATTGCTGTAAAGCATTTGAAACTTCGGGGACCAAAAACCAAAATAAATCCCCGACAAAATTCGAAAAGATAGCGTTATCTAAACTTTTAGTTTTTTATTAATTTGTTAGTAGTATTTATGCATTAAAGTATGTTGATGTCTTTGCATCAAATTAATTTCGACAATTTAATCCTAACTTATTAGTAGAATTGAAGACAATACATAATTTATAAATAGCAATATCGATACTGTCGCAAAAAGCTGTTTTATCGATTATAGTAATGACTACTGTTGATTGTATACACATTGTAAGTCCGTCAAACATCCTTTATGGTGACGCTAATAATGCAACATATTATTTATTGAATGTTATTATATATGAGAATTGTATATGGATATAGGAATTTTATGTTAAATTAAATGAATCATACCTATATGTACATATTATTTCACTTAATTTGTTATATCATAATTATCTAGAATAGATTAACCAACTCTTATATTTTATGTATTAGTATAGACTAGAGACTTAACCTCGCTTCGCTCGGGTGCGTTTTTATTTTATTTTGAGCGGAATCCTAATTCTTTTTCCAAAATAAAAGTAGCCTAAGTTACTCCTTATAACATCAGTTATCTGCCAGTGAAAACCCGTCAAAATCAGTCAAGCCGTTTCGGAGATTAGCCGGAACAACATACAGATAAAAATTTTAAACTGTGGTTTTTTCTTATGGTAAAAAGCTGTTAATTTGACATTACGAACAGACACTTCAATTTTATTTATCTGTATAGATATCAAAAGTTACCTAAAGACTACTTGCTAAATAAATATACATAAATATGTATAGTTTAGCTCTTAGTTTTTCCTTAACTTTTTAAATGTTATGTGAAGTTATTTTCTATGGAGCTTTAAAGTTGTAGTTTTAATTTTAAAAAGCTTGTAAACACAATAATAAACATTCAAAATACGCTATCTTCTAAAATGATAAAATAACAAATGCACTCACAAAATATATTTTCTTGCATTTTTCACTTTTTCTATACATCCATAATTTAGCTAAATCTATTTATTATCTATTCCTTCAATATTGTCACGTATCATTACACTACAAAGGGTGTTTGATGGGAATTCGATGTACATACAGCTAATGTAGCGTAGCGAGACATTGTTCAATTTTAGGGGTAAATGATATATCCGACCCATATATGAAGTCAATAAGTGATTTTGTGAATCACTACATATTATAAAATAAAGTCCGCCTCCGTATCTGTCTGTCTGAACGCGATGAACTCAAAAACTACCGAACGCATTTTCATACGATATTCACGAATAGATGAAGCCCTTCACGAGGAAGGTTTTTATATGTATAATTCAATAAGGTTTTGTGTAAATTTATTGAAATGGGACGATTATTATTGAAGATTTCCAAACAAATCATGCGAATTCGGAGCTTTATTGGCGTGCGACGCGTAAACTAAGCAAGTTATATGAAAACTGTGTATTACATAATCATTTCTCTTTAAAAATCTTCCAATTAAACATTAAAAATGCTATGTGCACGTACCTAGGGAGTAGGGACGCACCCGAGCGAAGCGGGGGTAAATCACTACAAATTAAAATATTTTAATCTACTATTGTATAGAGTTTAAAAATATGAATGATGTGATTTCCTAATGATAATAGAAACAACACTACACTGATTTATAAATTTCTAAGTTCGAAAATAGCGAGGCCCATACAAATTTTTATCACAGCTAGGCTTCTGATTAACCTGCAGTTAGTAAATAGTAAATAAGCTTTTATTTCTTGCAACTTGATAACAGAGTTTTTTATATTTGTATAATTAAGTATATGTACTATTTTTTTTTATATATTTATCTATACTAATATTATAAAGAGGTAAAGTTTGTGAGTTTGTGAGGTTGTAGGGGATAATCTCTGGATCTACTGAACCGATTTACATGAAATTTGGTAAGAATATAGTTTGAGACCCTGGGAAGGACATAAATGATACTTTTTACCCGGAAATCATTCCTTAAAGGGGTTGGAAATGGGAATGAAAGTTTGTATAGGGAACCAAGTTAGGGACGAACCCGAGCGAAGCGAGGGTGACTCGCTTAGTATATAATTAAACTGTTTGGATTTTTTTTTGTTTTAGGTTTTTTTTAATCAACAGTTATAGGTGTTTAATACAAGTAAAATATCGTTAACGGCATGTCGTTAGTGCATTTTATCAAGCTTTGTTCTTAAGATTTCTCATGTTTGAGCAGAAGCTTACTAGTTTTATTCGTGCACCTTTTTGTTGAATTAATTATAATAAAAGTCTATAAGACCTTTATTTTATACGATAACATGTTAAAATCCAGCACACGGATCTTGCTGTAATTTTTTCCGATTGTACACAATACAATGTGACTAAACTAAAATGCATGTCAGATTTTAATTAAATGAGCACAATTACTTTTCTTAAGGAATTTTAATTAAGTTGCACATATTATTTTTCAATTATAAAATGCACGAGTCCTAACCCGACTTAGTAATAAGAATTGTATTCTTACATAGTAATATCTTCAAAAGGCATTAGTAGCCAAGTAGTAACGCGCTTGGGGAATCAAGTGAAGCGGGTTCAAATACCGAGTCTCGCACCGTACATATATTTTCAACATGATTACCACTTGTCTTCACCGTTGTGAAGGAAAACATCGTGAGTAAACCTGTATGTCTGAGAGAACCTAACAAGTTCTCCAAAGACATATGAAATCCGCCAATTCGCACTTGGTCCGCGAAGGGAAGCCCATCCCCAGCAGTGGGAACTTATAAAGGTCAGCCCTATACATACATATAGAGTTTTTCACGTTTTAACACTTAGTAGAATCGATTTTTTCATTATCATTTCGCTTTACTCTCAAACTTGAACCCCTCTGGTATGAAGGTGTTTGTTTATACACCAAAATTGATGTCAGACCTGAGGAAGAATATATACAAAGTGTCATAGAACGAAGCATGACGCAAACTTGATTTAAATAATAATATATTATATTTTTTTTTAAACAGAATATAAATATTCGTAGACTATTCAATGCTGGGAAAAGTAAATAAATGTTAATAAATAAAAATAGCTAGCAGATATTATTAAAATAAAGAAAAAATAAATAAGCATTGTGCTATCTGTCTTACAAGGGAATGATAATTAATGCTTAAAAATGCACAATAATATGATTTTATTTTTATTATTCATATTTTCTTCTCAAAAATCCTAAATTGATGACTTAATACTTATATAAAACTTTCTTTATTCTTTAAAGAAATTAAACGAGCTGTATGGCAAAATTGGGAATAAGTAGCATATAAACAGCAAATCACGCTACTATTTTTGACTTTGACATTTGTTTTGGTGAGCTCACTCTGGATGGCTGTAGTCTGAATGACAGACAGAAAAAGTTGAAAACGCAATTATAAAATCGCAATTATAAAAACGCAATTATAAAATTATGTAATTATTAATTACAATTATTGTTAAACAAATTTCGAACTATCAAAAACAAACAAAACTAGCATACGAATATAAAAACAAATGAGACCGACCCACACTAAAACGGTTACAAGGAAACTATATAAGTTTCCAATAAATAAATCATATCAGTAGTTGTCAAACAGAAAACAATTGGTATATTAAATATTACAAACATTTCCATATAACGAAGTCGGAACATTTAATAGCGTTGCAATAAGTTTGTAATAAAGCACAGATTGCCTTCGATCATAATAATTTCTACGTGCGACCAGCATTGCGATAAATTATTTATTTCATTTCATGCCGATGATATTGCACCTTATTATGTAATATTTATGTTGAAGCTTACACTTGTCTGTTTGCGAGTGGATTGGTATATTGTTTTAGATGTCTATATTATATAGATAGCAATTCCCCGTGGCTGCGCTCGCTTATTTTAAAACTAAGGAATTTTCATATAAGCTTCCAACTCCTTTAGGAATTTAACTTCCAGAAATCCCTATGAGGATTTTGCTTTTGATTGAACATTATTAATTGCTTGTTCTTTCTGTACATAGGTATGTAGATAATATTTTATTTGTTAAAAAACCTGTATCTATTGTTAAAGTTACATGATAGTTATGAAAAAATAATAATATATATTTATCTTTTCTTTCAATAAAAAAACAATTCAACACACAAACAGATGCCTAAATTTTGCAATTTCGAAGCTTAGATAACATGTATAATTGATGGCATAACGACTACTATAATTTTAAAGCACATCCCCATAATAAGTAGGTAAAATATTTTTACTTACAAACAACTTTGTTTGTCCCCAATAGCATTTTTGTATTTTCCTATTCAATACCAATAAAGCGGAGGATGTGAACGCATTTTATTGCCGAAACGCTTGCATTATTTTTCTCAAACAAACTCTGCATAGATTTCACCCGCCATTAAACATGTGACAGATAACGCAAGATGGCGGACGCGGGAAATCTCTTTGTGTTGCCAGTAGAAAAATTTCAACACTTCTTTTCATCTATGACTTATAGGGTCGAGGGTCGAATAGTTTTCAACCCTTTATGGTTGGTTTAATCGAGTGTAGAGAATGTATGAGGGCAACTCCCCCTTAGAATTAATCAAATTATCAGTTATTTTTATTGCATATGGTTTTTATTACATGTGAATATATTTTTAATTGTTTGAATATATGATCAGAAGCTGCCGGTTTATTATATTTTTACCTACAACTTTATGGTATTTTGGTTATAAAAATTAATTTGTAATTATTACAGCTTGACCTTCACATTTATTACTACAAATGAAGCCGGCAGTTTAAAATATAAACTAATTAATTTTTGATACCTAAAAATTAAATTAAATTAATTTATTAGTTTTTAAAAGGAAAAAATTAATAACTCAAAAAAAAACAACTCAGGAAAACTCTAAAAATTAATAAATCTTATTTGAATTCATAATAAATTCTATATCTTTTCACAGGTAAAGGTGTGGTTCCAAAATAGAAGAACGAAGCATAAACGAATGCAGCAAGAAGAAGAAGCAAAGACTGGTACAAAGTCTAGCTCATCGGGTTCAAAGCCAGACGACGGGAACCAATTCAATAATTCATACGAGGAAGAAGATGAAGAACTTATAGATATGGACATGGATGAACTAAGTGAGAGTGAAAATGAAACGTAAAAAACAATTATCGTGACAGGACACAGTGTAAATATAGCATAATGTAATTTAATTAAAAATAGATTATTAATTATTATTTATTTCTTCAAAAGTTATTCCAATTTTGCATCTAGCAACAATTGAGTGAATCCTACTAATTTATAAACAATTATAAGAAAAGTTTAATGTAAAAGTGATGAAAAAACCACACGATAGTTAAAAACTCATCGCTCAATTTGTATCAATTCGAAACGTTGAAACGTGTCATTAAGTTAACGGACACAAAATGGCGTCGGGACTCTTGTTAGCGTTTCGAATTATTAGATAACGAAATTGGCCGCATTATAATAGTTTTGGGATTAAATTAATTAAAAATGCCTTCTTTGAAGCGATGTGATGTGGGTATAATTAGACAGCTTGATTTTAAACGCAGATAACGACGTTTCAACGTCAAAATGAAAGAGACAGATGTACACATAACTGGCTGTTAGAGTGGGAAGGAAGATATTTATAGATATGGAGGTCGATTACTGTACGTCTTTTGTGGGCCTATTATTAAGAGATGGTATAGGCTCTATCTCGGGTTGAAATCTCGTTGGTAATTGTTCGGGACGGTACAAAATTGTTTTTAAACTGTTGACGATTGTTCTCTATGGCTATTTGTCTACGCGTCCAGAATTTGATTAAGATCTCGAATGATCACTTCACGCGTTAGCCATTGTATTACTATTGTATGGCTTTAAGTTTGATAACCTGATTTATAATGTCAAAATACTACACATTTATCGGATGGACTTCTTAGAAATTTTGTTTGGTATTTTGTTTCGTGGTATATCACGATCTTATTAATTTTAAAGTTTAACTTTCATTTTTTTTTACATTTTCTTTAATATTTTTTCGTTGCAAATACTTTGCCAATACAAATGCGATTAATCGCATTGATTTGAACTATCGATGCACTAAAAACTTAGGTCAAATTAGAAATATAATACACGAATCGTTTCATTTAGTGTGAAGTTAGATATTGTAGCGGTATTCACATATTAATTACACACTTAACAATATTAAGAAAAATGTTCTATATTAAAACTGTTTTTTAAATCAAGAAGCCAAAAATGAAAATTGTATGGTTAGGCATTACTAATCAATCCGCAAACTCTTTATGACTGTCTAAAAATACGATTTATATTTTGTTTGACAATAGTAACCTGTGACGTCACTTTTTGTCAACTCAATTGACTGTTTATTGATTTCAAAGCAACCAAAAATCAAATTCAATTCGATTCAATTCCATTATTTTGTTTTCTGGCTTCTAGGAGTGCCAGTTGGACACAAAATGAATGAATTATTATTTAAAAGTATCAATTGTCCAATTTCAAAGGAATAGGTATAAAAAGAGAACATGCTTATGTTCAGTTTACTTTTCATTGAAAAAAACATGCATGTGTATAGGTAATATAGAAATATATGTGTAACATATAATAAAAAAAAATTATAATATAAAAAAACGAAGTAAAGATTCTTCATTTATATTAATTAGTATGGGCCATAGAATAACTTACTTTCTTGGTACATCAAGCAATTGAATATTACTACATTTACTACATATATTAAACACTAAAACTAATAAAAAAACAATTTTTCGAAGTCAAATATAGTTTTTTAAATACAGATTATATTTCTAAAATATTAGATATGACCCGTACTTAATTTCTAGCGACAATTAAAAAAAAAATGGAACTTTCAACACAAAATCTCCTGAGTGTATGCAATCGATCGATCTGGGTGGTAGACGTTCAGCAATCCCACAGAAATGTCCATACCGCGATTATAAGCCTAATTTGTATTTACTTTTCCGTTCATTGTTCAAATGATTTACGCGCGGAGTCGTGTTGCATTCATTTAAAACCAAATTAAAAGTTTATTTCGCGTAATGCCTGGTTATTACAATGTAATGCTGCCTTGCCTCAAACAATGCTTTACGGTATAATTGATTTTAATATATTTGATTGTTTTTTTTTTTAATTTGGGGTAACATTTTATCAAGATAAATTACACTAAAAAGTTTTTAAAGGAAATGTATTTTTTTTGTATACTTATATCGGAAATGTTTTTAAATGAATCCGGAAAATGGCATATTTAGTTTTCTTTAGCAGTTAGCTCTACCAATGTTTTGTTTTAACCACAACTAGCGACTAATGTAATAAAATAGGATTTCTAATTATTACAAAGATGTTGAATTAATATTTTGTTGTTTTATTTATTTTAAAAATATATAGCAAATTCAACTTACTAGCAGATAGTGTAGTATTATTATTATTTTATTTTATTAGTACTATTTTCGTTACTTAAAATATTTTGTCCAATGCAGAATTTTCAAACTTTTAATTAATTATTTTTTAACTAGCCACTCAACCTCGCTTCGCTCGGGTTCGTCCTTAAGTTGATTCCCCAAACAAACCTTCATCCCCATTTTCACTCCCTTAAGGGATGATTTCCGGGATTAAAACTATCATATGTCCTTCCCAGTGTCTCAAACTATCTTCTTACACAATGTCATCTAAATCGGTCCAGTAGTTTCGGAGCGAATTCGGTACAAACAAATAAACAAACAAACAAAAAATCTTTCCTCTTTATAATATTAGAGTATAGTTTATGGCGAGGAAAGTTTAAAAGCAGGATTGAATTATATTGTAAGATTTTTAACGTACACATGTTAGGTATAACGCAAATTCTCTCCCTATATTTGGTTAAATTTAATTAATTTATTTATGGTTAATAACCCGAGACATTTTTATATAAATTAAAAAAAAAACATTCAGTGGAACAAATTTAAAGACATTTATATATCTTTCCCATCCAATACCATTCGAAGCCCAGTTCCAGCTAACTGATAATATGAAAGCGATATTTCCATCGGTCAAGTCATAAGCACTCACCTTTTACGACTCCCCTATTTCCATTTTCCGCTCAATTGAATACAATTTTGATTACCGTTTGTTCATTAAGTGTGTTTGATTAGCGGCCATGTCGATATTATCGATTACGATAAAGTCGATATTTAATTACGCTTATTACTGATTGCAAATTATTTTTCATTAAGGCATTTTCCAAGACGAGAAAGAAGGCTTCTACGACTACTTCTAGCAACTTTCATTGTTTGTGATTTTTTTAAAGAGAAACTTCCTTAGAATCGTTGTGATTTGAAACTCGATGAAACGGAAATGCGATAGGATTAAACCGGCGAGAGAATCAGATAAAATAGATTGCCATGTTGCCATGGTAACCGTTGTTATTGTCTGACAAATATGTAATATTATATTCTTTCCGTATATGATATTCTATAAAAATATGATTGTAATATGCCTAATAGGCATTATTTAACTATTTAATTTTATTTGTTTTAATTTAATTGCGATATTTGCCAAAAAATTTACTTCAATCGCGCGTAAAAGTTACACGCGCCAATTTTTTTAAATTCATCAAAATAGATTTATTTATCGTGATTAATACAAAATGGCAGAGAATATTCGTCAACAGTTCTTTAAATAAACAAATTTAATAATTTCTTTTAATTTAATACTTTCTTAGATTTACGCGAATATTTGACATTTTAAATAAAACTATCTTTTTGGATTTTTTTCCGCGGTTTTATTATGATTTTTGGTTCCCAATGTTTCGGATGCTTTACAGCAATCATGGTCACGGAAAAGACTAAGGTTTTAGACGTCTTAAACCTTAGTCTTTCCCGTGACTCCCATGAAAAGATAGTTTTATTTTCTTCGTGTACAGATCCTAGGATAATTATTACCTATATAGCATATATGAAGTATACAAAAGAAAAGGTTTACGATATATGTATGTAGTTTAATACAACTAGATGTTACTTCTGTCATTTTTTTTATTTTAAAAAAATACCTTTTTTTTCTAAATCTATCCACAGACAGCATAAAAGAATATACTGATTTTAATTTACAATTAGTCCTTTATAAATTATTACCCACCATTTAGATGTTGTCGGTTCAAAATATAAAGAAATAATAAAGTTCTAACTCTATTATATTACGATTAAGAGTATCTTAATGCAACTTTTTTTCGTTTATACATTTTTTTTTAATTTTTTGGGTGTTTTATACAACATTTTAAGCTAATGGTATGCCACGACGTAGCCTTTTTAAGTAGAGGTCAAAAATTCGATTCCCCATTGGTGAAAGTTTATAACGGATGTATTGAAGGATGCTGTAGCAGATTGAGTTTAATTAATTTCCTCTCTAACAACCTGCCATTAAGTGAATTAGCATACAACTTGGTTACATTTATTGTTTTACCTACGTTACGAAAAGAGGTATAAATATAAACTCTCTATGTCAGTAATTTCCGTTATAATATAAGTTTGTTTAAAATTTTAGAATATGCTCACAATCGATGACGGACGGCGTCCTAGTTTACATAATATTGAATATAATATACGAATTTTCGCTCAAAATATCGTAGTTGTATAGTTCCTTTAGAAATAATTATAATTATGAATTAATTTGCTAATAATATATACAATATTATAACTGAAAACAAAATTTTTGACCTGAATTTTAGTTTTTTTTTCAAATGTTTATCTTTAATGTAACGTAATATAAATATAATGCAAAAGCAAATTATTTCGCCAAAATTGTAATTAGAAATTTCAGCAACAAATTTTGTTCGATTTGAAGCTCTTTACCTAAATCTAGATATAAGATGTGTTTCTAAGCTACATATCAATTACGTTACAGCTTTCAAAGTTTCATAATTTTGTGTCCATTCGGTAACTGCTATGTATATATTTATTTATTACCGTTTACTGTACTTAAGAGAGTATTAATATCGTACTGGTTTTAATATATGGAATTGAAAATTAGATACGTCTTTATTCATATATTCGACGACACGTTTGGCTCAGTTTGTTGTGACCCTACTTGCTGTGCCAGCGGTCGCGGGTTTGAGTCCCGCGGATTCATTTGTGTGATGAGCGCGAATATTTG